CTGCACTGTGGTGAAGAATTGTTGACATTTTGTGTACACCTGGTTCTAGCCTGGTCCATGTTTTCTATACAAATCATCACATCCATACATAAAGACATAACTGCTTAATTATGCTATGCATACAAGTATTTGGATGGGTGCCACCAATGTACACTACACTGACATTTATCCAGCATGGTTAAGTTGGATATTTAGTGGAACCATCATATCTTCTGCACTATTCTTTGCTGTCCTATGTGAGACCTGGTACCATATGTATAGCATGCGCAATATATATTGGTTGCAGTGGTTTATGGAAGCCTCTACTATTCTGGCTTTCAGATGAGTAGAAGGACACAGAGTATTATTTGAATGGGCTGCAAATTGCATCAGAATGCACAAAAAGTAACGCATGCACTACTTTTTTAAAAATGTGCTGCACCAAATCTCACGGTACTATGGTACCAGGTGATGCAGATTGCAAATGCATGTTAGCAATGGGCGGGGGGGGTGATAGATGGGATGGAGGTTGGTTTCCTGAGAACAATAATTAGAGAGGACCTGTTGTGGACAAGGCATACAGTATATCCTATTTGGTGGGCAAGACTGTGCTTTCTGAAGAAGCCATGAAGGGCAGGCTTTTCAGAGTGGGCCCTTATTCATTTGTATAAAGCTGCAGCTGAAAGTGTTTTAATATATCACATTCTTTGTAGCAAGGATCATGCATGGTCCATGACAGAAATGCCTTGCAAACGCACAAAAGATTATTGTAGGAGTTAGCTTACTGCGTATTGAGGAATCAGGGAGGGGAGGTGCCTCTGCAGGGTGAATAATATTTTAAAAGATATTTCACATCCTGGAAATGGTCTTTATACATTGCTACCTTCAGGTAGGTGGTATAGAAGTATTTGCTCCTGTACCTTAAGGTTGCAGAATGGCTTCTTTCCTCGATCCATACTGCAGAGTTCTGTATTTATTATGGCATGTGTGTTGTTTTCTTTGTCAGGATATTTCTCTGGCTACGGGACTGTTTCTTCTTTCCCATAGCTAAGATAGCAGCAAAGCACATAAATAATACAGCCATCATGCAGTGATGACAGCACACTCCATGATGGAGGAATCGGGTACTCTCTTTGGCGGGGATATAAACAAGGGAGCTGTTGAAGGATTGCAACAATTTAACATCAGTTTATATACAAGTAAGTCTCTGTCTTATTTTGATCTGAACATCTATTGGAAATGTTAGGAATTAATACTTGTACAATCTCCTTTACTATAGAGGATATTTATCCCTCTTCTTTCTGAATTATAATGGATGTTTAAAAGATGGAGGAGCTGGGATTAATCTACCCCTAAATGAACTACTCCAAGAGGAATCAAATAGGAAAATAATACTGGAATGAGCACACACACACTCTCCATGGATTAATACTTATAAAGACATACAGTATGTATATTGTAATTGGTGCAAATATATATACGAAGTTAGACATAATATTTTGGAATATATAGGTTTAGGCTACTTCTTTGGGGAGGAACGCATAGATGTGATTGCAATCCAAGTTTAATAATATTTATGGAGGGTATATTATTTATTATTATGCTTTTCTGGTAATGGGATCTAATCAAGCCCATTTGGGACAGAATGCTCAATAGAGCAATCAGTGGCGCCACTGTAGGGTTATTCGTTGCCCCCCCATTTGCCCCCGCTGGAACTACCAGGGTCACAGCGAGAGGACCGTGACCTTCCACCACCTTGGGGGCTTCCCTTACAAGAGGAATGGGGCCCTGCTGCCATCCTAGTCTGGAGGCCCCATACACACCTGGTTGTGTCATTGGGGAGGGGTGATAGGGCAGCACACACCCTGATTGGATTGATTGGGATCAGGTGTTTTCTAGAGAGAGCAGAGAGAGCAGTGGATCGGATCTTGGGTGATCATTCATGGAGTCCGTACACTTCCTACTGGGATCCACTCAGTGTGCTAGGACCAGGTGAGAGGCTGATTGCCGAATGCAAGAGAGCAAAGTCTGGGGACTACTCTGTGTGGTTTTTTCAGCTTTACTTCGGGACAGACCAAGTGTATTCAAGAGGGTGAAGAGAGCCAGACAATCCATTTCACCTTCCATGATCCCTTAATATTCTACTCTGTATATTAAATAAGACCTCCTGATGAATCATATACAGCCAGGATACTTCTATAGGATCAAGCTATGTCCATATTACTTAGAGAGAAGATCTAATAGTATATTTCTATAGGATCAGGTTATGTCATATTACTTAAAGAAGATCTAATAATATACTTCTATAGGATCAGGTTATTTCCATATTAGAGAATATCTAATAGTATACTTCTATAGCAGGGGTGTCAAACTGGCGGCCCTCCAGCTGTTGTGAAACTAGAAGTCCCATCATGCCTCTACCTTTGGGAGTCATGCTTGTAACTGTCAATCTTGCAATGCCTCATGGGACTTGTAGTTTGGCAACAGCTGGATGGCCACCATTTTGACACCTGTGTTCTATAGGATAAGGTAATGTCCATAGTACTTAGAGGAGATCTAATAGTATACTTCTATAGGATCAGGTTATGTCCTTAATAGTATACAGTACTTCTATAGGATCAGGTTATGTCCATATTAGAGGAGATCTAATAGTATACTTCTATAGGACCAGGTTATGTCCATATTAGAGGAACTCTAATAGTATACATCTGTAGGGTCAGATTATGTCCTTTGTACTTAGAGGAGATCTAATAATATACTTCTATAAGATCAGGTTATGTCCTTAAAACTTACAGAAGATCTAATAGTATACTTCTATAGGATCAGGTTATGGTCATATTAGAGGAGATCTAATACTGTAGTATACTTCTAAAGGATAAGGGTATATTCATATTACTTAGAGGAGATCTAATAATATACTTCTATAAGATCAGGTTATGTCCTTAATACTTACAGAAGATCTAATAGTATACTTCTATAGGATCAGGTTATGTCCTTATTACTTAGAGAAGATATAATAGTATACTTCTATAGGATCAGGTTATGGCCATATTAGAGGAGATCTAATACTGTAGTATACTTCTAAAGGATAAGGGTATATTCATATTACTTAGAGGAGATCTAATAATATACTTCTATAAGATCATGTTCTGTCCTTATTACATAGAGATGATCCAATAATATACTTCTGTAGGATCAGGGTATGTCCATAATAGAGAATATCTAATAGTGTACTTCTAAAGGACCAGGTTATGTCCACATTAGAAGAGGTCTAATAGTATACTTCTATAGGATTGGATTATATCCATATTACTTGGAGGAGATCTAACTGTATTTTTCTATAAGATTAGGTTATGTCCTTATAACTTAGAGAAGGTCTAATAGTATAATAGGTCTAATAGTGACGGACCGCCTGGACCCTGCCTGGGTGCTTCCGTCAGAAACTGCTTCCTCACCACTGGAACACAGGACCAAGATATTATAGCTGGGCATTGCACCCAAGTAAGAGAGAACACTAGTTTAGGTGCAAACAGGAACTCCCATACTGAACAGAAATACAGGTTTTTATACACTTAAGAAATGAGTCATGTAGGTTGTATATGTGTAATATAGGGTGTGTGTGAGTGATATGAAGTGTATACATGTAATAATGGCCACATGTGAGTGATGTGAAGTGTATACATGCAATAACACCTGACACCTTTTCGCCACTCATGTTACTAACTGACACCTTCACGACGCTCATACCACTAACTGACACCTTCACGCCGCTCATACCACTAACTGACACCTTCACGACGCTCATACCACTAACTGACACCTTCATGATGCTCATACCACTAAACTGACACCCACATGACGCTCATACAACTAACTGACACCTTCTCGCCACTCATACCACTAAATGACACCTTCTAGCCACTCATACCACTAACTGACACCTTCTCGCCACTTATACCACTAATGACACCTTCTTGCCACTCATACCACTAATAACACCTTCTCGACGCTCATACCACTAACTGACACCTTAACGACGCTCATACCACTAACTGACACCTTCACGCTGCTCATACCACTAACTGACACCTTCTCGCCACTTATGCCACTAATAACACCTTCTCGCCGCTCATACCACCAACGACACCTTCACAGAAAGATGTAGCCGACCACTAAGTTAAACCCAGCAAACGTTGGTGCAGTAGAGACAGTGGGGGTGCACTGGGGGGGGACACCGATTGTTGTGTTGCCTAGGGCAGCACAAAACATAAATACACCACTATATGCGGCCCCACAAGATTAAGACCCACTTCTGTGAGTCTGCAAATATGCATATGCTTGGAGAGAGGTTAAAAAATATCTTGTAAATTAGATCTCTTTGGGATAATTATCAATATGACTATAAAATATACAGGCGTGTCTTGGTTTATGAATTTAATTCGTTCTGCGGAACTTTTCATATTGCAAAAAATTCGGAAACCGAAACGTGGTTTCCCATAAGAATGCATTGAAAACCAACTAATCCGTTCTGGAGGTCAGAAAAAAAGTAAAAAAAAGTATTTTATCTGTTCAGAACTCTTTATAAAGTGCACTTTAACTACTCACCTACAGGGCACTTATACCCCCTTCCTGCCCAGGCCAATTTCCAGCTTTCAGCACTGTCACACTTTGAATGACAATTGCACAGTCATGCAACACTGTACCCATATGAACTTTTTATCATTTTTTTGAGACAGATAGAGCTTTATTTTGGTGGTATTTAATCACCTCTGGGTTTTTTATTTTTTGCTAAACCAAAAACAACTGAAAATGTTGAAAAAAACCCCATTTTTTTTCTTACTTTCTGTTATAAAATGTTGTAAACAAGTGATTTTTCTCCTTCACCGATGTGTGCTAATGAGGCTACAGTGATGGGCACTGATAGGCTGCACTGATGGGCACTGATTGGCGGCACTGATGAGGAGGTACTGGTAGGTGACATGCATCACTGATGGGCACTGAAAGGCAGCACTCATATATGGCACTGATAGGTGGCACTGATAGGAAGTACTGACTGGCACTGATAGGTGGCACTGACTGGCACTGTTAGGTGGCACTGATAGGCAGCACTGACGGGTACTGATGCACACTGATAGGCACTGACTGGCACTGATAGGTGGCACTGACTGGCACTGTTAGGTGGCACTGATTGGCAGCACTGATAGGTGGAACTGACTGACATTAATAGGTGGCACTGACTGGCACTGATAGGTGGCACTGAAAGGCAGCTCAGATGGGCATTGATATGTGGCATTGATGTGGCACTGATGGGCACTGGCAGGTGGCATTGATGGACACTGACAGGTGGCACTGCTGGGGCTACACTGATCATCAGGGTACACTGATCATCAGTGTACATGTCCCCTCTGAGGAATGCTGATTACCGGCTCTCCTCTCCTCATGAGCTGTCAGCGTGACAGCTCGTAGGAGAGAAATGCCGATAACCAGCATTTCCTTATTTACATGTGATCAGCTGTGGTTTGACACAGCTGATCACATGACATAGCCGATGTCTTCGACACAGCCACCGATCACCGTGATGCGCGCACACGCGGTTAGAGTGGGAGGACGTCATATGACGTCCTCCCAGAACAAGAGAACCGCCTTGCACCCGTCATTTCCTTATATGGCGGGCAGGAGGCAGTTAAAGGCATAAATACTGTACAGGAACATGATTAAAAATGAATTTGTAAATGCATTGAAAACCAATTAATCCATTCCGGAGGTCAGAAAAAAGTAAAAAAAAAAGTTTTATCTGTTCAAAAAACTCTTTATAAGGTGCACTTTAACCTTCCTGACGGTATTCCCGAGTGTAGTTCGGGGTAAAGTTTCAGTACCACAAGCGGTAACCCCGAGCTACACTCGGGCTTACCATGCGGCGCTGCTCCGGCATCTGTTCTTCTCTTACCTTGTCCTGCTCTCCTCATGCGATGTCCCTCCTGCAGTGTCCCCTGTAATGTCCTCCGGCAGATGCCGTCATCTGTCTTCTGGGTTCCGTCCCCTGCAACGTCGGGATGTACGGGGACGGAACGGAAAATGACAAAAAGTGACATTCACTAAATACACTAAAATCACATAGTATAAATTACTGTACCAAACCATTTCACATACATTTTGTCCCGAGTGCTTTGTCCTGTCCCCTGCCTGCATGCATTTTTACTGTTCTTTCTGCCTGGAAACTGAGAAACGTCCATGGCGTCCAAAAAGCGTCCCTTTAGGTCAAAAGCGGTTTTAGACCGGCTAGAGAACAGCGATAGTAAATTAGAACTACTTGCAGAATTGAGTGATAATGATTCGTGTGGAAATTCGTCATCAGACACTGAAAATGATTCTGCGACTTTGCTCAGTGATGTGAAAACTTGGCGCTCTATTGCAAATTACAGTGTTTTTGGTTTGATTATATTATTGAATTAAATTTATTATTATTATATTATTATTTTTTTTATGTTTATTTATTAAATTATAATTTATGATTTCGTGTTTCAAATTTTATCATACCCGGGATGTTTACTAGACTCTTGTTTGCACAGATTTCAGTGAGTTATTCCTAAAAATTACAGGCCTACAATAAAAAAATACATATTTCCATGAGTACAGAAATATGGACATAATCAGACCGCTAGGGAGGTTAAAGGCATAAATACTGTACAGGGACATGATTGAAAAAAATTTGTAAATGCATTGAAAACCAATTAATCTGTTCGTATTGCAAAACAAAATTTGTAAACCGAAGCATTATTTTCAATGGATTTTCATTTGTAAACCGTAAATTATGTTAACCGAGGCGTTCGTAAACTGAGGCATGTCTGTATATTTAATTCTACAGAGCAATTTACATATAGGACAGAGATTGCAGGTGCGTTAACTGCAGCCTCCACTTTGATATCTCAGAGGTCCCTTTCTTTTTCCTCCTCTTCTGTATGGGTACATGGAGACATGAGATGCACTGGCTGAGGATGGTGACACATCAATGAAAATGATGGATTGATCAAGTAATTGTATATGCTACGTGATATATACACTGCAACTATATGAAATAAATAATAACTGAAAGTTATGTTCTAAATATCCCATGACAAAATCTATCTCTCCTTGGTCTCCTGATGACGATAGATAGATAGATAGATAGATAGATAGATAGATAGATAGATAGATTATTATACAGTATTTATATAGCGCCAAAGGGTTTGCTCAGTGCTGTATAGATAGATAGATAAACAGATAGATAGAAAGATATTTTTTAATATAACAATAAATGGGATCTTTGGATTAGATTGTACAAGGGGCAGTCAAATCAAACTGGGACTTTTAATTTTACAAGTTTAAAAAGGGATACTACACACAGCAGTAAGTGGTAAGTGTGTCCTATTACTGATAGGCTGCGCTCATGTTGAGGGCCAGTCCAGAGATCATTAACCACTTACTGATACAGTAAATATCAGACATACTGATACAGGGCAGCACGGGTGCACAAAATCACGTATATATACGTGATTTTACATTTCCGGGTAGGGAGCACGCAAGGCTAAGCAGGGAAGAGAAGAATCCTCCTGCTTTTGCGTGTCGCTGCCTTGCTGGCTGGCATCACTTTTTCGCTGGCAACTTTCTGTATCCTTTACATCAATGAATGAGTGACACCATGATTAACTGGCCAGTGAAAGAGTGACATTGAAGCAGATGAGTATTTTTTATATGCTAGCGAGTTGCTGCTAGTTATAGGATCACAAGTGTGACATCAACCAACCAAAGTAATAGTTAGAACAACAGTTAGAACTGCAGTTACCTTTTTTGTTTCACTGTCTGTGCTCTGTGTCGAGATTTTTCTGCACTTACTGTGTTTGAGACAATTTGTGAGCTCCAATGGGGATACAGACAACAATAAAAAGCCAGACAGAGATTCCCCAACACTTCCAATAAAATGTGTTTTTACTGCCACCACTGTATGCCCATCAAAGCAATTTCACCCCCATTTCGTGGTCTGATAACTGACTTAAGTCAGCAAAAATTTTTTACAAAATTAGATAAAAAAGAAGCAGGGACACTAAACCCTACTTTATACAAAATATAAAAAGTTACACTATTCTGAAAGGAATAATCAGCCCAGGCAGATCTTCAATATGGATGAAATTTGAATGTTTTGCCCCTTTCTTAAGGGTGTACCGTTGTCCGTTTTTCATCCATCCATTGACAGATATAAAACAGACAGCAATGTATTACTATGGACCAGTGGATGTGAATGGACCAGCAGATGTGAACAGATGATCATCCATTTACCATCCACTTACATCTGTGTCCGTTACAGTACGTGTTTTTTAAATGTACACCGGTACATCCAGGTCCGTTGAAGCAGAATAGAACAGATGTGAACGGATGTAATATGTTTACATCAGTTCCATTTATGTCCGCTTTTAGGCAAGATCATTTTTTGTTTATACTTTTATCACCTTTGATTGGTCTCTGCATCAACCAGGGGTGGACTGACAACTCATGGGGCCCCCCGGCAATAGGGGATCATGGGGCTCCTGTGTCCTTGCCCACACTCAAAGCACACCCAAAAAAGCCTATAAAAAGGTGCCAGGGGCATTTCATGGGGCCCCCTACTGACCCAGGGCCCTCGGGCAGTGCCCGAGTGCTCAAATGGTCAGTCCACCCCTGGCATCAACTAAGTAAAAACATGTGCAAACACAGATGTAGACTGATGTAAACTGAACTGAACTGATATAAACTGATGTAAACTAAACTGCAATAAATGGATGTGAAAACTGAAGTAAACTGACATAAACAGAACTGAAAATTGATGTATAAACTGATGTAAACTGAGTAAGTTTTTCCTTTGAAAAAACGTGACTGATTGGATGATGCCTGTGTGACAGGAGCCTTTGGGTAACATATTCCATGATAGACATCTTAATGAGCAAGTCAAAGGTTGGAGGACATAAGGCTCGAACGGCTCTGTATACTTTGTTTATTGTGAGGTATTAAATCAAGAGAATATTGAGTATATACAGTGGGGCAAAAAAGTATTTAGTCAGCCACCAATTGTGCAAGTTCTCCCACTTAAAAAGATGAGAGAGGCCTGTAATTGGCATCATAGGTAGACCTCAACTATGAGAGACAAAATGAGAAAAACAAATCCAGACAATCACATTGGCTGATTTGGAAAGAATTTATTTGCAAATTATGGTGGAAAATAAGTATTTGGCCACCTACAAACAAGCAAGATTTCTGGCTCTCACAGACCTGTACCTTCTTCTTTAAGAGGCTCCTCTGTCCTACACTCATTACCTGTATCAATGGCACCTGTTTGAACTTGTTATCAGTATAAAAGACACCTGTCCACAACCTCAAACAGTCACACTCCAAACTCCACTATGGTGAAGACCAAAGAGCTGTTGAAGGACACCAGAAACAAAATTGTAGACCTGCCCCAGGCAGGGAAGACTGAATCTGCAATAGGCAAGCAGCTTGGTGTGAACAAATCAACTGTGGGAGCAATAATTAGAAAATGGAAGACATACAAGACCACTGATAATCTCCCTCGATCTGGGGCTCCATGCAAGATCTCACCTCGTGGGGTCAAAATGATCACAAGAACGGTGAGCAAAAATCCCAGGACCACACGGGGGGGCGTAATTAATGACCTTCAGAGAGCTGGGACCAACGTAACAAAGGCTACCATCAGTAACACACTACTACGCCGCCAGGGACTCAGATCCTGCAGGGCCAGACGTGTCCCCCTGCTTAAGCCAGTACATGTCCGGGCCCCGTCTGAAGTTTGCTAGAGAGCATTTGGATGATCCAGAAGAGGATTGGGAGAATGTCATATGGTCAGATGAAACCAAAATAGAACTGTTTGGTAGAAACACAACTCGTCGTGTTTGGAGGAGAGAGAATGCTGAGTTGCATCCAAAGAACACCATACCTACTGTGAAGCATGGGGGTGGCAACATCATGCTTTGGGGCTGTTTCTCCGCAAAGGGACCAGGACGACTGATCCATGTACAGGACAGAATGAATGGGGCCATGTATCGTGAGATTTTGAGTGTAAAACCTCCTTCCATCAGCAAGGGCATTGAAGATGAAACGTGGCTGGGTCTTCCAACATGACAATGATCCCAAACATACCGCCCAGGCAACGAAGGAGTGGCTTCGTAAGAAGCATTTCAAGGTCCTGGAGTGGCCTAGCCAGTCTCCAGATCTCAACCCCATAGAAAACCTTTGGAGGGAGTTGAAAGTCCGTGTTGCCCAGCGACAGCCCCAAAACATCACTGCTCTAGAGGAGATCTGCATGGAGGAATGGGCCAACATACCAGCAACAGTGTGTGC